CTGAGTTTCGGAAAGTTCAGCAGTGGTATGAAAATTTGTGCTAATTGCTCCCGCTAATAGATTAATGGATATGCTGTGTGGGCTTTTGTGTCACACTGGCTGTGGGTTTGGATATATATATATATATATATATATATATATATATATACCGTTTATTTGGGACATACCTTACTTGTAAGGATATAATGGTTCAGATTCTGTTTAATTGGGACATATCTTGCTTGTAAGGATGTAATGGTTCACATTAGAGAATACATTAGCAGGTCATAAGTAGAACATTTATGAATTGATTTCACTATTGAAAAGTCATACTTAGGTGGATAGCGGAGACCGGAAGTTTCTTCGTGTCACTAGTCAACTAAAATTTATATGTAACGAGTATAATTTGTCGTCATCGATAATTTAGATGAAGGTAGAACTCAGAAGAAAGCTGCTCTTTGAGTTATTTTTTTCTTTAAATATGGAGCATTTCAATTATCATTCTTGTGATGAAGACTTTTGTGCTAAGGTAACTAGCACTTGTAACTATTCTTCTATCTGATTGTAGATTTAATCAGAAGTCGAGCACTATCTCTAGAGGGCCACGAGGAGTTGAAGAACATCTGGGATTGCTTCCACCCATTGTGGAGTTTACCTGTAAATATATCTGTAGTGATGGGACTTATCTCGTTAGAATTGTTTTAGTTGAAGTCATCCATTTCATGTGGCCTTTCTGAACATGTACTTGTGGCAGAACAAATTGTACTGAGAGATACCTTTTGGTAAAATCTTCCTTGTTCGTTAGACCGAGTGTCCAATTGGGGAAAGCGCAGACAGTGAAAAAGATAAGGAATGAATATCTAATGTACATACATATGTTGCTTTTTTTTCCCTGAAACTATTGCATCGTAATGTTACTAGTATTCATATTTAAGTTTTAGATTGTCTTAGTGATTACAACTATATTTAATTTATATTATCTTTTTTAGGATATTTAATGTTATTTTTGGTACTTAAACTTATACATATACTTACAACTATATATATTTAAGCTTTGATGGCTTGTGTTGCCGAGGCCTCGCCGTGGCGAGGCAATGGGCCAATCGCCTCGCCTCGCCATTTGCCATTTAAAACTATGATGAGAGTATAATTTAATTTAAATGAATATTTTGTATACAAGAAAAGGATAAGCAAGAATAATAGAAATATCAATTGTTATCAGTTAGAGTTTTATGCTCTTTGAATAAATATACAATGGTTTTAATACACAAATACTGTATTTTAAAAACATTATAAATAATGTATTCTTATTCAATAAATCTAATGTAATTGATTAGCCTAACTTTTAGTGCATATCATTACAAATTGTGTCCAGTCCTTGGGAAAAATGAGTGCGAAATCTTGTAAATGTTACAGCCACAGACTGGAAAGTAGAGAAACAAAAACGAAACAAACAAATTTGTTGCACATCCTCAATCACAAAGACAAAAACACCAAGTCACAAATTTCGAAGCTTTCATGTATAAGTGAACTACTTCACGACCAATCTTTCGAATATTTTGACGTAAGTGGTACGTGGAAATAACATGAGTTGCTTCGTTGTTCAATGAATGCATCTTCATCAGGAGTATCACTTTTGGAAAGGTTAATTGCTGGCACATTATGAATATTAACACTCTTCCTCCGACCGGTGTCCTCATTTTCATTATCCTGCTCGAGTTGTCCATTCTCGTCAACATTTTCGTGTCCATTCTCGTGGACGTTCGCTTCTACATTGAAATCATCATAATCCCGACCATCATTGATGTCCTCAATTTCATTATCATGCTCATTGCTCATTCTCGTCTTCATTTCCGCTTTCAGTCTCGTGGACGTTCGCTTCTTCATTCAAATTATCATAATATCGACCATCATCCTCACCATCAAATGTACTATCTTTACCCAATCAACATGGTTTGAAAAATCACTTTCAACAGCTCGAGAAGCGGAATGTTGCACTATATTGTTACCAAAACCAACATTTGGGTTGCTTTGGATAAAATGGCTAACCTTGAGCAGCAATTAAGTTCCAAAATCC